TCTGCTGGTTCACCCCCCAAATGGCCGCAAGGCTGGAGCTGTGCCGATCCGAAGCCAGGAGCCAAGAGCTTCTTTCTGGGTCTCCCACGTGGGTGCAGGGGCCTAAGCACTTGGGCCATCTTCTGCTGCTTTCCCAGGCCATAGTAGAGAGCTGGAATGGAAGTGGAGCAGCCGGGTCTCGAACCGGCACCCATATGGGTTGCCAGCGCTTCAGGCCAGGGCGTTAACCCACTGTGCCACAGTGCCGGCCCCAGTCTTTGTGATACTTCTATCATTTTATTTGAAAGGCAGAGAGATAGAGAATGATCTTTCATCTGCTGGTTCACTCCCTAAATGCCCAGAACAGCCAAGGTTGGGCCAGGCTAAATCCAGGAGCCTGGAGCTCAATCTGTGTCTCCCACATGGATGGCAGGGACCTAGCTATTTAAGCCATCACCTGTGGCCTCCTAGGGTGCACATTAGCAGGAAGCCAAACTGGAGCGGAGTAGCTGGGACTCTAACCATACACTCCGATAAATGATATGGGCATCCTGAGGGGTGTCTTAACCACTATACCAAACACCCACCCCTATTTTTTTTAAAGAGCAATTTTAGGTTTATGAGAAAATTTTCCAGAAGGTGCAGTTTCCACTGTGGACAAGTAAAATATCCCACACCAAAATATGTTGAATTAGCTACTCAGAGGGACTGCAGACACAGGAATGGATCTCTTGTAAAAAGAAGTGGACATCTGTCTACATTAGCCAGATGAACCGCATAGACAGAGGCTTTCCTTCTTGGACTTCCCTGTCTGCCTAGGAAAGATTGCTCTCCAGTCAGAAGAGACTGGGACTCTAACACCTGGCCCAGGCAGAGGTCACCGCAGGTGGCCTTCTGAGGCCCACCTGGGAGGCTATCTGTGTAAGGATGGGCTTTGCCCACAGTGCATTCTCCACCCCCCAAAACTGGCATCACCACATTCCTGCGGGGAGTCCCAGGTCTCCACGCCATTTTAGCTTCAACTATCTGGCTCCTCCTTTGAACTGGTACTCTGTACATCTCTGGTGCTTATGCACATAAATACTTATGGTATGTTTTTCTCTAACCTGCCTTGTGTGTGTGTTGTGGGGGTGCTGGCTGGGACACTTTATGATGGGCTGGAAAGGGATCCCCCCTTTCCCCCTCTACACCATAAACTCTTTCATCTCCCAGGAACACAATGTCTCTTGTTACTGCCATTTTACCTTAGAACATGAACCAGAATCGACACGTTACCTGAAGCCTAGGTGTATATTAGGAGCCGCTGGATGTTACTCAGTTCTGTGGGTTTTGACAAATGCCTAATGTCATAAATCTACTGTTACAGTATCCTGCAGAAGCGTTTCACTGCCCTCAACATGCCCTGTGCTCTAGCCCTCCACCCCTCCAGCCTCCCCAAGTCTCAGTCTTTTTACTGTCAAAGTTTTGTCAGAGTTGAGACTGGCCTCTCACTTACACGTGTTTACTTGAGGTTCACGTCTTTCTGTAGCTTGATAGCCCATTTCTGTTTGTTGCTGAATGATATTCCTCTGCACAGATCTACCATGTACACTTTCTCCAGGACATGTTGGTTACGTCCGGTTTGGGGCAGTTATGCAGCTTTGGAAGGGAAGTGAGTCCTCACCAGCCTCACAAGGGACCTTCAAAAGTTCAGGGAAAAGACTACACCTGGATGTCAAACATTTTTTGTACCAAAATAAACCAACCTTTTAATTTCATTTTCCACAAATGTCTTCTTTCCACAAACACAGTATATGAGGCTCTGCAACAACCAAACTCTCTTCCAAAACGGCTGCACCATTTTACACACCCAGCAGCATGCAGGAGCGCTCCTGAGGCTTTGCCCCTTACCAGCACTTGCTACTGTGTCTTGGCTTTCAGTCACTCTTGTAGTTGTAGTGGGCATACTACTTACGTTAAAAAAGCAACCCAAATATACATGTATCTACACACATACTCTTTAGGACTACATATTTGTAGCTTAAAAGTTCATAGAAGTGGCCGGCGCCGCGGCTCACTAGGCTAATCCTCCGCCTTGCGGCGCCGGCACACCGGGTTCTAGTCCTGGTCGGGGCACCGGATTCTGTCCCGGTTGCCCCTCTTCCAGGCCAGCTCTCTGCTGTTGCCTGGGAGGGCAGTGGAGGATGGCCCAAGCCTGCACCCCATGGGAGACCAGGAGAAGTACCTGGCTCCTGCCATCGGATCAGCGCGGTGAGCCGGCTACGGCGGCCATTGGAGGGTGAACCAATGGCAAAGGAAGACCTTTCTCTCTGTCTCTCTCTCACTGTCCACTCTGCCTGTCAAAAAAAAAAAAAAAAAAGTTCATAGAAGACAAGAAACACAAGGGTGGGGCAGCATTTTGTTGCAGCTGTTAAGTACAACACCAGCATCCCACAGCAGAGGGCCTGGTTTGGGTCCCAGCTGCTCTGCTTCTGACCCTGGAGGCATCAGGTAATGGCTCAAGCAGCCCACAGCCTGCTCCAGCCCTGGCTGTTGTGGGCATCTGGGGGATGAACCAGCAAGACAGATCTCTGCTTCTCTACCTTTTCAATACAATAACAATAATTTTTTTAAAGATTTATTTTTATTTATTCAAAAGAGTTACAGAGGTACAGCCAGAGAGAGGGGGGTCGAGAGGTCGAGAGGTCGAGAGGTCGAGAGAGAGAGAGAGAGAGAGAGGTCTTCCATCTGCTGGTTCACTGCCCAAATGACCAGAATGGCTGGAGCTGAGCCAATCCAAAGCCAGCAGGCAGGAGCCTCCTCCAGGTCTCCCATGCAGGTGCAGGGACCCAAGGACATGCGGCCATCTTCTACTGCTTTCCCAGGCTATAGCAGAGAGCTGGATTGAAGTGGAGTAGCCGGGCCTCAAAGCAGCGCCCATATGCGATGCAGGTGCTACAGGCCAGGGCTCTCACCTGTTGTGCCACAGCGCTGACCCCACAATAATTTTTTTTTTTTTTTGACAGGCAGAGTGGACAGTGAGAGAGAGAGACAGAGAGAAAGGTCTTCCTTCGCCATTGGTTCACCCTCCAATGGCCGCCACGGCCGGCGCGCCGCGCTGATCGGAAGCCAGGAGCCAGGTACTTCTCCTGGTCTCCCATGCGGGTGCAGGGCCCAAGCACCTGGGCCATCCTCCACTGCACTCCTGGGCCACAGCAGAGAGCTGGCCTGGAAGAGGGGCAACCGGGACAGAATCCGGCTCCCTGACCAGGACTAGAACCCGGTGTGCCGGCGCCGCAAGGCGGAGGATTAGCCTAGTGAGCCGCGGCGCCGGCTCGCCACAATAAATTTTTAAGTTAAGAAACACAAGGATACTTCAAAAAGTTCGAGGAAAATGGAAATGAAACATAAATTTATCTGGGTGCCAGACAATTTTGAAATCCACATAGGTTCCCCTAAGATGCACCCCCAGGAACATCTGTGAAGCCCCCCCCGAGAGGGAAGACAGGAAGCAGGCAGGTGGCCGCCCCAGGTGAGGGGAGGCAGGGGATGAAGCGGCAGCTGCAGGAGGCACAGGGTGAACTGCTGACACTGCAACTTCTTTAGGGTGGTGGGTGTGCAGCTATCACATTATTAAAGGTGACTAAGCTAACAGGCGTGAGGGGAGTGCACTGGACAATGGCCTGCCAAGGGTGACTGTGGGCGAAGCCTCCAGACTCCAATGTCTGCTGGGGAAAAGGGACTTTGCAGATGTGATTAGGGTCCCGATGTGGGCAGGTTGTCCTGGCCCAAAATGACCACAAAGGGTCATTGTAAGAGAAAAGGGGAGGCAGCAAGCTCAGAGTCAGAGCAGGGGGCAGAGGTCAGAGAAGGATGCGCTGTGCTGTCTTTGAAGAAGAAGGGGCCCTGAGCAAACACGCAGGCAGCTGCAGAGGCTGGAGAGGCGAGAACCACCCCGCAACACCCGATCTCAGCGCAGCAAAGCTGACCACCAGGACGATAAACCAATAAGTGAATGTTTAATTTTGTTTTTGAGAGGCAGAGAGACGCAGACAGGTACAGACAGACCAGGGTCCACTTGCTTGCTCACTTCCCCAAAGGCCTGGAACTCGATCCAGGTCTACAACGCGGGTAGCAGGGATCCAGCCACTTTAGTCACCTGCTACCTTCCAGGGTCCGCAGTAGCAGGAAGCTGGAATGAGCACTGGAGTCAGGATTTGAACTGAGGCATCAACACAGGGGTTGTGGGAGCCCCGCCAGGAGACACCGGCCAGGCCAAATTCCTGCCCCAAGTCGTGCTGTTCTAAGCCTCTGAAGTTTGCAGTGGCACTGGGCGCCTACTACAGTGAGCCAGGCACCGATCAATACACCGGATTATGATTAATCCAGTTCTACAGCAAGGTCTAGAAGACAAGGCGCACGACCCCTCGGCATGCTACAGACCCTTGACAACACGGTTCCAGCAGGCCCGGCCCACCTGTGCGGCACCCTACTCTGCACGGCTGTCAACCCCTCTGCCGCCGAGTCACGCGTTTTGGCCTCTGGGCCCTTTTTGCTGTCTCCACTGACTCTGAAGGGGCTCAGCTCCTTTGTCACGGGCCCCGCCAAGTCTCCCAGGCTGACATCCCGTCCGCAGAACCCTTTGCTGAATGGCTGACCCTGCCTGCGAGGTTAGGATTCGGTGCAGGAGGTCCCCTGTGCATGTTTGCAGAACCAACGCTTAAGGCACGGTCCATCGGGCAGTAGACTGGGAGGTCTTCCCTCGCCTCCACCCTTCGCTAAGCGGCAAGAGCTGGTAGGAGCCGGCAACCTCCTCCTGTGGGTGCTTAGAGGGGCGAGCAGCGCACCGGGGACCGAGCGTGTGCCTGAGTGTGCGGGTATGTGCGTGTGCGTGCAGGCTCCACAGGCTGCAGAGCCCGCGCCTCTTTCGCTGTCCACACGAGGGCTGTCGGTGAGCACCCTGCACCTGTGCCCATCTCGCTCCACGAATTCAGGACCGGGGCGGCGGACAAGTCACTGTAACGGAGGACCGCTCGTCTTACCCCCTGGATCCGCTGAGACCGTGGATCGCGAAACCTCAAGCAATGTGCCCGCAGGCCACCTGGGCGAGGAGACGCGCCCCGGTGCAAGCCCGAGGTCCGGCCCAGGCGCTCCACATCCCCGCCAGGCCAGCCTCTCTCCAGCCGGTAGCGCGAGGCGGCGGTTGGCGACCGCGGCCCGGCCGTTCAGAGGAGCAGCGGCGAGCAAGCAAGAACAGCTGGCTCGGACACCACGCGAAGCCGGAGCGCAGCCTGAGCCGCAGTTGAAGAAACCGCTCCCGGACTGGACGGAGGCGGAGCAGAAACTCAGGCGGAGCCAACAGAAGAGCATTAACCATGCCTGGCGCCCTTCTGGGACAGCCCCCTCGCGCGCGGCACTCTGGGACTTGTAGTTTGCTGCCCGGCCCGCCTTTGAGCGTCGCTTTTCTTCTTCCGCTCGCCACCCAGCACGCTGACTTCCTGGTTGCCGCACGTCCCCACGTACGACTACACTACCCAGAAGCCTCTTCTTCGCGTCCAGCGCGGCGCGGGCGCCGGTCGGCTCCTTGGGACTACAGTTCCCAGAAGTCCTCTGGAGAAGGGCTTCCCTCTCTCACTTCCAGGACCACAATCCTCAGAGCTTTCTGCTTCCCGGCGTTTTTGTTTTTGCCCGATCCCCTCTCTCGCTGGCTGGGCTTCGGCGGTGACGTGACCCGTGTGGTGGCCGGGCTCCGGGTTTCATCAGCGGCCCCTCTTTCTCCCTCCCCTCGGTTATCCCCGTCGCAGGCCGCCGCAGCTGGCCTGAGCGGCGACCTGGCGGGCGGCGCCTGCGCTCTGCCTCGTTTCCTGCCTGGCTGGTGGCGGCGGCCATTTTGTTCATCCTCCTCCTCCTCCTGCTCCTCCTGGTTGGAGCGCAGTGTCCGGAGCGGGCTGGGGGGAGAGAGCCCAGGAGCCGGGTTCGGTGCCTTTTCCTCTGTCCCCAGCCGGTGCCCGGAGCCCCCCTCCCCTTCCTCCCCACCCCCTCCCCTCCCCAGCCCTGCCCTCCCCCTTGTCCCGGGATCGCTCCGTCGCACCCACCATGATGGAAGACGACGGGCAGCCCCGGACTCTGTGAGTACCCGAGACTGGGGGTGCCGAGCGCCGAGAGGCCTGGGCACGGCGGGACGCCGCGGGAGGGGGCAGGGGGGCCGGGGCCGAGGTGGGCTGGCCGGGCGGCCCTGCGGCCGGGGTGGCGCGGGCGCCAAGTGCATTCCTCTCATCTGTCCCCGGTTCCTTGGGAAGGAAGCCCTCCCTTCCCCCAAAGACGGGCACTTCCTGGGGTCCGGGGCCCGTCTCCGCCTTGCCGTCTCGCGCTCTCTGCACCCGCTGGGCAGGCCGGGTCGCTGCCCGGCTGAGGCTGTCAGGCCCCGGCGCGCTCCTGCGCCCCCTCGGCTTCGGGGGCCCCGGCCGGGCCGGGCCGGGCCGGGCCGGGCCTGGCGGGGGTGGGCCCGCGCAGCGAGCGCTCACGCCCTCCGGGTCCTCCGCGCCTGCCGCCCCGAGCTGGGCGCGGGCAGCCGGGGCCCCCGGCCGCCGCACGTGCCCCCGCCCACGCTGTCAGCGCCCGGCGCCCGCTACTTTTGAAGCGCCCGGGGGACGCGTCTCGCCGCGCGAGCGTCTCCCGTCTTGGGTGGCGAAGTTTTCTTGGAGCGCTCGCTGGGCTGAGCTGACAGCCGGTCGCTGTCCCGGTGTTGCCTCTCGCCGGTGCGCGTGTGCGTGTGCGTGGGGACCTGCGGAGGTGCACGAGTGCCGTGCGGGGCGTCTCGGGCCGCGTTGCTGTCGGGCTGTGCCGAGGCCCGGTCCAATGAATGAGTTCCGTCTCCCGAGCGGTGAATCCGAGTTTCCTACGGGAGAGTGATGACTCAGCGTTCGCGCCCCGTCTTTCCCCGCACGTTTTCTTTTTAAGCTCGGGTGGTTCCTGAGCAGTGTGCAGGCAGGCGGGCTGTGCCTCGCCGCTGTGGCGCGGAGTGGGCACGTTCACTGGGCTGTGCCGGCTGTCGGGGCGTTACCTGGGGCTTGCACGCCGTCGGGTGGGCAGCCGGGAGGTGGACAGCCCCTGTTCGGGAGTGATGGGCGGTGGAGCTTTTCTGTGGCCTTGAACTCTGTTCCCGTTCCTCTGAAGCCTCGCTGAAGCACTTGCCGTCCTGTTTGGGGAACTGAGGCCGCCTGAAGGAGGACTTCTGTGTTGTCTTCCATTTCTGGGACAAACTTCACATTTGTCCTTCAGCTTCTGTGGAAGACTCGGTATTTCGTTCAACGTCTACTTTGATGGAAGCGCTGGAAAGCTAGGTTTAGTCCCCAGCTCGCTGGTCCTTAACCAAGATAAGCTACATTGTATCTAAAACACGTGAAGTGTCACGTTGCATTGTAATAGCTATTCAGTAATTGGTGACTTCTCAAGCCACCTGTCTTATTAATAGTATCCATTTCTTCCAAGAGGAATTCCTGGCTTCGTTGTGCTAAGTAATCGGCTTTTGCAGCATTTTTTATTCACCTGTGTATCCTTCCGTCTGCCTTGTCCAGCAGCTTCTTTGTTGCCTCCTGCCTTTGCCTTCTCCAGCTGTGTCCTTTCTGGGAAGCACGTGTGAACGGTTTACAGTTGTCTAGAGTGTGACTTGTGTGCATGTGAGTAAGCATCGTGAGCGCTGTGGTCTGGGCGGTCAGTGTTTCCTCCTCCTCCTCCCACTCCTCTCTGGGGGAGGGGCGTTTTTCAGACCTGTGCTGTTGTGCCTTGCTAGGTCTTAGCCTACCGCATTTCCTTCCCTGCATGGAACATAGGAGATGCTCAGTGTTTTACAATTATTAGACTTCTTCCATTAAATTAGTGTTTAAGTCCTGATTGGTTTAGATTTATGCAGGCGTTAAGGTCCTATGTAGTATGTTTAGTTTTATATTTTTAAAAAACTTTCAAATGTAAAATCTTGAGATAAAAACAAACGTTTCACAATTGGGACTTCTGTCAGAGCTTAATAAACATAACCCATAATAGTTTTTTTAAAGATTTTATTTATTTTATTTGAGAGTTAGAGTTACAGACAGTGATAGGAAGAGACAGAAGGTCACTCCCCAGATGGCTGCAACCGCCGGAGCTGTGCGGATCTGAAGCCAGGAGTCAGGCGCTTTTTCCTGATCTCCCACGTGGGTGCAGGGGCCCAAGGACCTGGGCCATCTTCTACTTTCCCAGGCCACAGCAGAGAGCTGGACTGGAAGTAGAGCAGCTGGGACTAGAACCAGCGCCCATATGGGATGCCGGCACCACAGGTGGAGGATTAACGTAGTGCGCCACTGTGCCGGGCCCCCATAATAGTTTTTAAAAGTGTACATTTTACATATTTTTTCTCCAGGGATTCTTTTAGGTAAAAGTAACATAGAAGCTAGTGATTTTAGAGGTTGATATCTAGTAGAGATTTTTTTTTTTTTGACAGGCAGAGTGGACAGTGAGAGAGAGAGACAGAGAGAAAGGTCTTCCTTTGCTGTTGGTTCACCCTCCAAAGGCCGCCACGGCCGGCTGCGGCCGGCGCACCGCGCTGATCCGATGGCAGGAGCCAGGTGCTTCTCCTGGTCTCCCATGCGGGTGCAGGGCCCAAGTACTTGGGCCATCCTCCTCTAGTAGAGATTTGTTTACAGAGATCCTATATTTTGCATTATGATCTATGAATTTGATTTTCAAGTGTCTAGTATCAAACTGTTTCTTTAAAATGCCTGTGTGTTGCTAGTGAGGTTTTTTTCCTGCAGACATACACAAACTAAGACATATGGTTCTATCTTCAGAAAACAATATGGTGTTTATAGCCTAGGTAGGTTTTTAAATATTCATTACCTACAGTATTACTAATTTATTGGGTGGTATTTAAAGTGGCATAGAATTGCTTTGATGTTGAGCCTAAAGTTGTTTGTCATATAGTTTCTTTAAAGGTCAGTTTTCTGGTGTTCTTCATTCTCATTTGACATTTATTTTGGGATCTTATGTACTGGATAACTTGTGATCTAAAAAAACAAACAAGATCATGCTGTGTAATACTGGTGCTGGGAGTGGCCTGCCTGACACCTGCCTTGTAGGACACGTTTCAGGCTTGTGTATAGCTTTGTAGTGCCGTGATTCGATTTATGGTTTATTTTATGTATATGTGTGCACATATATATATATCTGCATATGTATACACATATATGTATGTATAGCATTGTATGTCTACAGTGAGACACTAAATTATAATGTTCTGTTGTGTAAGTTTTTTCAGTCATCCAGTGTATTAAAATCAGTAGGGATCGTGGATCTGGGATAATAATCATGTTATGCAATGCCGTCCTTTAAGGCCATTCTTTGTCTCTGATAACTCAGTCAAAAGGAGGAACTAAACTAATGATTTACAGTATAATCTGAACATCTAAATAACAAGAAAATACTACGGAGTCACAAAACTGACTAGCTATCCCATGGGATTTGGTTATATTGTGGCTATAATCGCACTCCTCATTCAACTTAATCATATTATCTGTTGTTCATAATGTGTGTGTGTGTGTGACTGTGCCTCATGTATGTAACCAGCTTCAGGAGTCTCCTCCACCCTGCCTCCTTCCTAAAAGCAGATACTGACCTGTTGAACAATTTAGAGGTCTGTTGAAGGATGTTGCTGCAAAACCTCCTCTTTATAGAGACTTGTCAAGAACAGAAACAGACATGTTACTTTCATAGGGATTTAGCCATAGTATTTTGTGTAAAAGGTGCTGGTGGCTTCAGCCTGGGTAGGGCTATCTTTTCAGATTAAGAGCACATTCAGTGTTGAAACATGTCATTTGTCTTCTAAAAGGCATGGTGTTCTTTTTTATTTATTTTTATTTATTTATTCGAAAGACAGTTACAGTGAGAGGCAGAGCCGGGGGAGGGGTCTTCCATCTGCTGGTTCACTCCCCGGATGACCGCAATGGCCAGAGCTGTGCCAATCTAGAGCCAGGAGCTTCCTCCGGGTCTCTCATGTGGGTGCAGGGGCTCAAGGACTTGGGCCATCTTCTGTTTTCCAGGCCATAGCAGAGAGCTGGATCAGAAGTGGAGTAGCCTGGACTTGAACTGGTGCCCATATGGGAAGCCAGCACTGCAGGCGGCAGCTTTACTCGCTGCACCACAGCACCAGCCCCACCATGTGTTCTTAACATAGAATTCTGCCCAGGTGGACTTAGGAAGTAGTTTGGCAATGTGAACTTCTGCCTTCTTTGCAACTGCCAAGTTTCTAGTGTCCGACTGTATTTTAATACTGGTGTTAGGGATAAAGTTATCATTTTCAGTTTTTAATACTTCAGTTCCTGTTCTTAGAAGACAAAATAGGTTTTTTTAAAAGATTTATTTATTTACTTTGAAAGTCAGAGTTACACAGAGAGAAGGAGAGGCAGAGAGGTCTTCCATCCGTTGGTTTGCTCCCCAATTGGCCGAAACAGCCAGAGCTGCGCCATTCCGGAGCCAGGAGCTTCCTCTGGGTCTCCCACATGGGTGCAGGGGCCCAAGGGCTTGGGCCATCCTCCACTGCTTTCCTAGGCTGTAGCTGAGAGCTGGATCAGAAGTGGAGCAGCCGAACTTGAACTGGCGCCCATATGGGATGCCAGCACTGCAGAGGGCAACTTCATCTGCTATACTACAGTGCTGGCCCCAACAAAATAGATTTTAAAGTATGCCTTTTCTTTCTTAATTCTTCCTTGAGTTAAAAATCATTTTGGAATTACCTAAGTGTTTTTTCTTTTGAACTGACCTCTCAGTACAAGAAGTTGAGCTATTACTTTCTGTTAGGTTCAAAAAAATCAGGTAAAAATTATATTTAAAGTTTGGAACTTTATTTTATTTAAAGATTTATTTTATTAATTTGAAATGCAGAGTTTAGAGACAGAGAGAGAGGGAAGGTTTTCCATCCACTGGTTCACTCCCCAATTAGCCACAGTGGCTGGGGCTGGGCCAGGCCGATGCTAGGAGCCAGGAGCTTCATCTGGGTCTCCCATGTGGGTGCGGGGACCCAAGCTCTTGGACCATCCTCTGTTGCCCTCCCAGGCACATTAGCAAGGAGCTGGATCGGAAGTGGAGCAGCTGGGACTCGAACTGGCATCCATATGGGATGCTGGCGCTGCAGGCAGAGGCTTAACCCGCTGCGCCACAGTGCCGGCCTGAGATGATGTACTAGGTAAGGTATTGAATATTTTGTTTCAAATACTTTTGTATTTATTTTGGGGCAGATTATTTTATGCTAATATAATAACATTTAACCAGCATAGCACAGTGTTTTAAAAGCTATAAAATACGTCTCTGAAGTGTTGTGAGGCATGAATTATAGAACTCTGTAAAAGGAAGGCCAGTTTGGGGCCGGTGGCTGTGGTGTAGCAGGTTAAGGTGTTGCCTGCAGCATCCCATGTGGGTGCCAGCTGCTCCACTTCCAATCCAGCTCCCTGCTAATGTGCTTGAGGAAGTAGTGGAGGGTGGTTTAAGTCCCTGGGCCCCTGCCATCCACATGGGAAACCCAGAAGTTCCTGGCTCCTGACTTCCACCTGGCCCAGCTTGTGGCCATTTGAAGAGTGAACCAGCGGATGGAATTCTTGCTCTGTAACTCTGCCTTTCAAATAAATAAAATAATTAAAAAAAGGGCAATTTGAAATTTGGATAAAAATGTCCTTTCTATTTAAGATGTTCTTCATGTTATAGAATACAGTTTCCATTAGTTTTTCAACCTTAGTTTGCTGTTTTTTGTTATTTAACTCTGTAGAGACGTTTGAAAAAAAAATGAAAATGTATCATTGAATTTTTCTGTAATTATTTCATGATATTCTAAAGTTAGATATTAACATCTTGATTTTTGGCATCAGCACTAGAAATATGAATTGGTAATATATCTAAATGTACCTCTAGAAGTTCTTCAAAATCTATGACTGATTAGCAATAGATTGACTTGAAACAAAAATCCTATTGAACAGCAGCAGATTTTATCGTGACTGTTAAGTATGGAAGGTAATGCCCATGAAGTTTTTCCTGAGCAAATGCATGTTTAAATGGTAGGGCACATTTTAAAGTATTTAAATCACTTAACATTTGTTATTAAAATGATGTTTTAATTTTGTTACCAGATAGCTGCAATATGTGAAACTCAGATTTACTCTTCTGTTCTCTTAGAGATGAGCCCTTTAGGTTAGATGAGCAAAGTTTCTGAGGATCAACATCATTTGCTCGTTTTCCTTAAATGTAAAGTACTCGTACAAAAAGAAATTATTCCATGGATGCAGGCTCACAAACAAACCCCTGAAGGTTAAAAGGAGCTAGCCATGGTTTGTGGCTGCTTCGTAATCCTGTAACCTTCAACAGCTGCTGGGAAAATGTTGTCACTGTGTTGGCTACCAGTGGGCTAACTGTGCTTCAGTTTTAAGGAAAAGACAGCATCATGGACCATGGTTTGCCTCTGGGTTAGTCTTCTAGTTAAGTGACGTTTGGATGTGTGTTTCAATGTTATAGAGCAAGTACACTAAAATTTAGTACCCATTGCAATGAAATTCTTACTTGGAAATTTACTACTTATTCTTAATTGTATTTTTTTAACTTATCCTTAGCTTTTCAGTCTGTTTTTCCCTTTTAGAGTGTTCATCTTAAAGCAATTATGTGTTTAATATGGCAGTCATGTTGTAAGGCTTATTTTGGTCTTGGTTCTCAGTTTTCAGATGCTGTATATATTTTTATAGTTAGAAAAATTAAAATTACATCTTTTTAATTTCCAGAAGATGCTATGCTAAATTTTACAAATATTCTTTGGCTTATGGGGTTGTTGGTGACAGCAAGTTTGAGGAATTATATGTTGAATTAAAAGTTTGGCAGTTTATTGAGATAACTTAAGATAAATCCATGAAGGGTCCAGCACTGTGGCGTAGTAGGTTGAGCCTCTGCCTGCAATGCTGGCATCCCATAGGGGTGCTGGTTCAAGTCCAGTCCAGCTCCCGAGAAAGCAATGAAAGATGGCCCAACTGCTTGGGCTCCTGCACCCCCGTGAGAGATGCAGATGAAGTTCCTGGCTTCGGCCAGGCCCAGCCCTGGCCATTGCAGCCATTTGGAGAGTGAACCAGCAGATGGAAGATTTCTCTCTATCTCTCCCTCTGTGTAAATCAGAGCTTTCAAATAAATAAATCAATTTTTTCTTTTTTTGACAGAGTGGATAGTGAGAGAGAGAGAGACAGAGAGAAAGGTCTTCCTTTGCCGTTGGTTCACCCTCCAATGGCCGCCACGGCTGGCGCACTGTGGCCGGCGCACCGCGCTGATCCGATGGCAGGAGCCAGGAGCCAGGTGCTTTTCCTGGTCTCCCATGGGGTGCAGGGCCCAAGCACTTGGGCCATCCTCCACTGCACTCCCTGACCACAGCAGAGAGCTGGCCTGGAAGAGGGGCAACCAGGAAAGAATCCAGCGCCCTGACCGGGACTAGAACCCGGTGTGCCGGTGCCGCTAGGTGGAGGATTAGCTTGTTGAGCTGTGGTGCCGGCCTCAAATAAATAAATAAATCTTAAAGAAAAAAAAAAATCCATGGTGCAAGAGAAACTGAATGATCATCTCTGGGTGGTGAAGTGGTGCTCACTCTTTCTTTTAACTTACCTGTATTTAAAATATTTTGATATGAAGTATGTATGTCCGATTTGTAATTAGGAAAAAAACCATCTTTAAATATCCATAGTCAGGGTATATCTGGATTTGTTAATTTTTCTCTGAATTTCTGAAGAAATCTTTTTTTTTTTTAAGATTTATTTATTTGAAAGAGTTACACAGAGAGAAGGAGAGGCAGAGAGAGAGAGAGAGAGATGTCTTCCATCCACTTGTTGGCCGCAACGGCTTGAGCTGCGCCGATCTGAAGCCAGGAGCTTCTTCTGGGTCTCCCACGCGGGTGCAGGGGTCCAAGGACTTGGGCCATCTTCTGCTTTCCCAGGCCATGGCAGAGAGCTGGATTGGAAGTGGAGCAGCCGGGACTAGAACTGAGGCCATATGGGATGCTGGCACAGCAGGCGGTAGCTTTACGCACTACGCCACAGTGCTGGCCCCAAGAAGTCTTTATGTATATATTTTTTTTATTAAGGGTATTGGAATCAGATCCTTAGTTTTTTTTGTTTTTTTTTTTTTTTTTAATATTTATTTATTTATTTGAAAGGTAGAGTTACAGAGAGGCAGAGACAGAGAGAGAAGTCTTCCATCGCTGGTTCATTCCCCAAATGGCTGCAATGGCCGCAGCTGAGCAGATCCAAAGCCAGGAGCCAGGAGCCAGGAGCCTCCACTGGGTCTCCCATGTGGGTGCAGGGGCCCAAGGACTTGGGCCATCTTGTGCTGCTTTCCCTGGCCATAGCAGAGAGCTGGATTGGAAGTGGAGCAGCTGGGACTCCATCGGCGCCCATATGGGATGTCAGCAGTGCAGGTGGCTGTTTTACCTGCTAGGCCACAGTGCTAGCCCTGTGTTTTATTTCTGACGTACATAAAGATGTATCTGATTCTGATGCATCTGAGATGAGGAAATTTTAATGTTTTACCCTGCTGTCCTAAAACAAAGCAAGACATGTAATTGCCAGTAATCTTATTTAGCAAACAAAAAGAACCCTTTGCCCTCTGTGCTTTTTGCTATAATTTGAATAATTCTGAGTGCTTTGTTTGGGAATCTAGGATGAATTCACTTCATTTCTAATGTCCCTTTCTGATTGTTATAAGTGAATCATGTGCCATATTTATGTGTATGTTATAAATTATTTTGAATGAGAAATTGTGATTATTACGTTGAAACTGGTTTAAAGATTGAATGAAGTGATTGAATTGAGAGAGTATTATATAGAGTACAGAATAATATACTTTTAGAGCCTGCAAAGCCCTATGAATTTCTTCTTACAGTATCTTCAGAGTGGCATCTTAGTGGCCCAATAACAATGGTTGCTTTTCTAAACAAGGGTTAGTTTTACTTTGATAGGATCAGTCTTCATTGGAAAAATTCTGTTGAAGACAGAGGAAGTTAAAATGAATGAAAAGATGATTACTTAAACAGTAACGTATTAGAGCTAAAGGAATATTGCTGATAAACTTTTTTTCTTCTTTGTATACAGATACGTAGGTAATCTCTCCAGAGATGTGACAGAAGTCCTTATACTTCAGTTGTTCAGTCAAATTGGACCCTGTAAAAGCTGTAAAATGATCACAGAGGTAAGGTCTTCCCAGGTACATGTGCCGTCAGTCAGCATGGTGTTTAACATTTGAGATGTTAGTGTCATTTTTAAAGTTTATCTTAACTCCAGTTGCTTTGGTGGAGAGATTTACTTTGTTGACTTTGATTTGGCTGACAAACTAGGCATCACTGGCATTTTATAGGAGAGAGCTGTTACTCTCATGGTCTTTCTTCTTGATGTAGTTGTCATCAGATGATTGTGTAAAAAGCTTACCTTGAAGTGGTAAAAAATTGGATAGTATTTCATATAATTCAGATCAGACTGTTGATGATTCAGTAGCATACATTTGAAGTGCAGGAACTGGTGGATGTAAAGGAATGCTGGCTTGTTATGTGCAGTGCAGTACCGTGTGTCTGGAGCGCCTGTAGCAAATACTGATGACTGAGCTGCTTTATGTACATAGGCATTTAAATTGTTAATCATGTTGTCCTTTTTTCAAAGAAAACTTTTTATACTTGTTAAGACTCCATAGATGTGCTCCTAGAGTCGTGTTTCTGTTCTTTCCTTCTTTGTCACTTTGTTTATTCATCAGTTTGGGTTTTTTGTTGTTTTGATTATTTACTGCATACCAGGTACTACGGTAAGTGCTAGGGATATAGTGGTGAATAAGACAGTTCCTAACTCTGTAGAATTTTACAATCTAGTAGGGAAACTTAAGAGTTAGCAGGCACTTAGGATATAGGATAATAAATGCTATGGATGCAGATAGCTTAAAGTACTGTGGGAACACAGAGAGGGTGGCCTTAGGTAGGGGAGACTTCTTGGAAGAGTGAGTGCCTAGCCTGCCACCTGAAACATTAGTAATTGAAACTGGCTAGACAGGAATTTGGGGAAGAAGAGATTCCAGTTAGAAGGATGTTGATCTAGACGAATAGAGAGGGCAGGGGTGTGTGGAGAGAAAGGGAAAATAGAAGTCATAGCATAGTTGGAGTTTAAAATGAGATTAGTCCTAAGAAATACCAAGAGTGTTTGGAATGGGCCAGAAGCTGTGTGTTTTGTCCTGAGATGAGGAAGAGCAGGAGAGGAAAGAAGCTGAGTTTACTAGTCTAGGTAAGAGATGATGAGGGCTTGTTCTTTACAGTGGTTTCTGAAGAAATAGAAGTAGATAATTTTGGGTTGTCATTTGGAGGTAGAATGCCTAAGACTGGATTGGCTGTGGGATGTAAGGGAAAGGAATAAATCAGGAAAGATCTTAAGATTGTTAGTAGTACAGTTGTTTGGGTGGTAATGCTATCTACTAAAATGAGGATGACTGAGGGGGGACACAGGACAGACAGGGGAGTGGTGGGGATCAGGAGTTCTGTTTTGGAAGTGTTAAGTTTAAATTAGATATCTAAGTGAGCATTACATGAAGGCAGTTGGGTAAACTAGTGGGAACTTTGGGGAGACCAGTGCTGAAGCTGCAGTGATGTTTGAAGCCATGGCCCTGGATGAGATCATCCAGAGAGAGAGGTGGTAGAGAGGAGTAGAGGGACTGAGGTCTGAGTCCTGGAGCTGCTTGGCATTTGGAGTGACAGTTAAGGGTTTGTGTTAGGAGAAAATACTACCTTCTAAAATACTTTGGGGAGGAAACAGGATGATAGAGTAAGGAGAAGGGAAAGTGTACAGGGGGAGGATAAGGGCTGGCACTAGGGTGTAACAGGTAAAGTCGTAGCTTGCAGCACTGACATCCCATATGGGCACCGGTTCAACCCCGGCTGCTCCATTTCTGATGCAGCTCCCTGTTAATACTCCTGGAAAATGCAGTGGAGAATGGCCCAAGGACTTGGGCCCCTGCACCCACATGGGAGACCCAGGTGAAGCTACTGGCTCCTGACTTTGTCCTGGCCATTGCGGCCATTTGGGGAGTAAACCAGCAGATGGAAGACCTCTCTCTGTCTCTCTTTCTCTCTCTGTCTATGCCTCTTTGTAACTCTTTCAAACAAATAAATTAATTGAAAAATAAATTAAGGGGGAAGATAGTGGTCAACTATTTTGAATTCCTCTTGGAAGTCAAGGACAGAAAGGAGATCCATGAGGGTGATAGAGAGGTCATTGGTGAGTGGGACTGCAGTTCTGGTGGCATGGATGAGTTGGAAGCCAGCAGGATTGGGTGTAAGAGTGAGATGACAAGTAGAAAGAGTCACTGGAAAAATTTGAGAAACATTTGATAGAGATTTATTTTCTTCGATTTTGAAGATTTATTTATTTGAAAATCAGTTACAGAGAGAGGGAAAGACAGAAGAGAGCTGTCTGCTGGTTAATTTCCCCAAATGGCTGCTACAGCTGGGGCTGGGCCAACTCAAAGCCAGAAGCCAGGAACTCTGTCTGAGTCTCCCTTGCGGGTGCAGAGGCCCAAGCACTTGACCATCTCCTGCTGCTTTTTCAGGCACATTAGCAGGGAGCTGGATTGGAAGTGGAGCAGCTGGGACTCAAACCAGCACCCATATTGCATGTTCGTCATAGACAGCACCTTGACCCGCTATGTCACAATGCAGTGGCACCCAGCGTTTATTTGGTGAAACCCTTGTGTATATGTAGCCATTTGAGAGGTTGAAATGATTTTTTATAACTTACCATAGTCTAGAAATAGTTACAAAAAGTTATAAAATCCTGTTTTTCTGTTTGGACATTCATGCTATCTAACAAATTAGTAGCAACACTAAAGACATGACTGATATTTAGATTGTCACTTAGTGATGGTGTAAACGGGAAGCTAGCTTCTAAAAGGCATGAACTCTAATAGAGTGTCTGGCATCTAGGCATTTATTTACCTTTCATAAATTTCAGTATATGAAAAATCTCTGATTTTTTTCTTTAGATTTTTTTTATCATGGATTATAGCCATCCCTATGTGATAAATGTGCATTATTGATTCTAAGGCAAGCTGAAATTTTAACATCTCTGACAGGATGTGACTTGAAGATCAATGGTCTTAGATGAGATGCAGTGAGATGTGAATATGTAAATATATGGGGTGTTTATTTAAATATATGTGTACAATAGTTCCCCACTTTCTCCCTTATTCTTGATTTCTCTTTCCTCACTTTCAGTTATTACCTGTGGTCAGCTTTAGTCTGAAAACACTGAATGTTAAATTCCAGAAATGAACAAGTCATAAGTTTCCAATTGCAAGCTGCTGTACTCTGTCTGGGACATGAATCATCCTTTGTCCAATGTGTGTAGGCTATAGGTGCTACCCTCCCATTAGTCATTTAGAATCTCTCTGACTCTTCAGATCAGATCAGCTGTACCACAGTGCTTATGTTCAAGTGTTCAGGTAACCCTTATTTTACAATCTAATGGTCCCAAAGCATTTGGTAGTGATGCTGGTAATTCGTATATGCCAAAGGGAAGGTATAAAGTGTTTCCTTTAAGTGAAAAGATGAAAATTCTTGTCTTAATAAAGAAAAAAATTATATACCAAGGTTGCTAAGATCTACCATAAGAACAGATCTTCCATCCATGAAATTGTGAAGAAGAGAAAATAGATTTATACTAGTTTTATTGTTGTACCTTAAATTGCAGAAGGCATGGCTGCAAAAGAAGGTAGAAAATTCATGTATCATATGTCTAGGTAAAACAGTGTATACAGGGTTCAGTTTCAGACATTCGCTGTGGGGACATACATACACACACACACACACACACACAAACACAGCCACTTACATTGAATGGGATCTGGCCTACTACTAGTTAGATACATTTGAAACCAGCATGCAGAAGTAGATTAGTTTTGTAAAGCCTGTGCCATTGTAGGACCTACCATTGGGCCTATTGGTGTAATGTCCCTTAGAAACCATAAAGGAAGAAGAAATAGGAGTAAAAGGAAAATTGATCAACACAGTTTTAGCTTACTGGCTTTTAAATCCTTTCTTTAATGACTATGTTTGGTGAATGTTAACATTTTAAGAGAAGTTTAAGTGGATATTTTTGTTTGGAGTCTGTCCCCCGTGTCCTTTCTCTGTCTCTGAAGAGTAGCATTCACAAGACAGTACAGTTTTGTATGACAGCCTGTAGTTTGCTTGTCAGTATTAATGATCCCACCTTTTTTCCCCTCAAGGAAATGCCTTCTGGTTGCTTCACCACTATTGTTCATACGTCTTATTTTGGATTTTTCTTCTAAAACTTTGCTGGAATGAAAATCAGTGGTTGTTGAAAAGATCTTTATTTTATCTGGTATTTTTTTCTCTTGTAAGTCCAACTAGAATTCCACATTTTAAATATTCTTTTAGGGCATTTTGCATTGAATAGTGATGAGTTTTTACCTTTTTGTAAAAAGTATTTTTGAATAGTTGTGCAGTTATCCAGTATAGATTGCAGTTTTATAAAAATTCATTTCCATTTTGGTGGCTAGGGGATAATATTGCTATAATTACATAGCACTATTTCCAAGCATCTTTACAAATACAAATGTATTTGCCAGTTATCAAGTGTAGTGTTTGTAGAATACATTTAATAACATTTTTATCAGTGTATTTGTGATATGAAATTATAGCTTCATCTTGGAATATTTTATTGACACATTTTCAGAAACTTTCTTCTTGATCACAAGTGTGTTTTGTGGTCTCTGAAACACCAAATTCAAAGTATAGAGAATTTCTGGCACATAAGACTGTAAGAAGAAGATAGAGAATTCATTTCAGTTGCTAGTTGTGCATCTTAAATTTTTGTTTCTCTCTTCATATTTTCCTTATCCAGAAAAGCATACACACACACACACACTATACATATACTAAGTGTAGTGTGTGTGTATAAAATCCAGTCTTTGTAGCTGTATAGAGTACCCTCATTTGTAGTATGAGTCCTAGTTTTGATCAGGAGTATATTGTATAGTTGGTTCGTTTCTGTAGTTTTTATTCTAAGGATGGTGGTGCATAAGTAGAATTTCTTTTTTAAAAATTATATTGGAAGAGAAGTGCAATGGCAAGGAGTGGTCCTCATAAAATCTGAGTTTGGAGATTTGTTTGGTGTAATACAACTCTTGTATTTATCTTGTACTTAGCATGCTTCACCAGAATGCCGTATTTTCATGTAATACTGATGATGATGATGATGATTCTGTAGTTCTGTTCCAAGTAGAGCAGTGCTCTGAGGTGCAAAGTCAGGGTTAGCTGTAAATCATATTTTTAAAGTGTTAGGCTTTCGTAAGCTTATGCAATCTCACCTTGTACATTCCTAGCTGTCAGTAATGTTTTTTCCTGGATTTTCTTCTCAGCAACCCGATAGCAGAAGGGTCAACTCTTCTGTTGGATTTTCTGTTTTGCAGCATACAAGCAATGACCCATATTGCTTTGTGGAATTTTATGAACACAGAGATGCAGCTGCTGCATTAGCTGCTATGAATGGGAGAAAAATTTTGGGAAAGGTAAGATCATAGAATGACGATGTCTTATGAGGACAGTATTTGCATGTCAAATTGGTTTGTATTCTTTCTTAGCAAGTTTTTAAATGGATATTCATCAGCAGAATGATGGTTTTGCTTTATTCAACTTGGTGGTTTTACAAAAATAATCCTGCTTGATAGATGATTTAATAAGTGGTAAGTGTTACAGTTCATAATGACATGCCTAATAATTGTATTAAATATAATCTTTGTTTTTAGGAGGTCAAAGTAAACTGGGCAACAACACCAAGTAGCCAGAAAAAAGATACCTCCAGTAAGTACTTCTGCTGCATTTTACTGTGGAGGAGTTCTGAAATTTTCCTGGCGGCATTACCAACTTAAAAAGGGTTTTTCCCCCATTTGTGTTGCCTTGGAAGAGTTTAGTATTGGACTTCTTAAGTATTTCATTACCAAATGCTTTATTTTCAGATCATTTCCACGTGTTTGTTGGAGATTTGAGTCCAGAAATTACAACAGAAGATATCAAATCAGCATTTGCCCCCTTTGGTAAAATATCGTAAGTATCGTGATCAGTACTACACTCAATAGTGACAGGCAAAATTGTATATGATTGACTTGTATTAGAATTAAGATTTTCTTTCTCTAGTTAGTGTGATTTTTTTTGTTTTTGTTTTTTTTTTCTTTTTGGTTCGTTTTTTGAATAGTAGATGTTGTTGAAAATGTTAATGTCATCTCAGTGTTTTTGAGCTCGTGTTTTCATCTAATCCTGTGTATAATATGTTAAAATTTTAAGTGGTTATGTTTGTTATCTTTGAAACAGATGTTTAGGTGGTAAAACTTAACATAAAGTCCAACTTTTTTGTCAAATGTTTTGAAAATTAGGTGATGAAAGATAATGGGTTAATCAAATGTAAATGTGATATATACTGTGTATTAAACTTTTATGGGCAGTTTATGAAGTAAAATAGGCAAGTCCTTGGGTATATTGCGGTTACGTTGGAAATGCTTGTTTAATTACAATGATAAATGTGTTTTGCTATTTTAAGTATAAATGAAAAGTAGTACTATTACAATATTAAAATGTTTCAATGTCTGAGTTGTAAATGTGGGAGTAATGAGATTCGCTGTTGTTAGTGATACTTGATTTCTCTAGTTAGAGGGTAAATGTGGTTTGGCTTGATATTTAATAAAATGTGTTTAAATTTTACTGTTTATTATTTGATCAAATATTTTGGAAAATTAAAAGTGGTTATAAGTTCTATAAAATGTTTATCACAGTTTATCTTTCTGAGTAAAATCAATTTTATTCTGTATATTTCCTGTAGATTTGAATTAAATGTTTTAGTACCACTTTACAGGAATGTTTCATTTAAGAACAACAATTTTTTTCTTTATACAATTTGTTGTTCTATAGAATTAACTTATTTGAAAGAAAGACTTAATTCTTTAATTTTCTATTTTGATATTTGCTTTGCTTTTTAATCTAAATATGGTAAGTAGTACTGTTTTAAAAATCAGTATAAAATAATACAGGTTGCTGTTTTTCAATCTTTATTTATACCTGAGACCTGCAGTTTTTCTAAAGTCCAAGTCACAATTAAAAGTAATAGCATTCTGGTTATTTTGCAGAATTGCTCATAAGAATGGACAGGATCTTGAAGGCTAACTGCAAGGAACTGTGCACACTGGAACTCAGTTGTAGATTTTTTTCTCATTTCTATTTATTCTTATTATACATTATTTATATATACATATTTTAGTATTTACATTTTAACATTCTATATTCAGTGGAGTTCTATATTTCCAATCATTTTAACTTACTCACTAAAATTTCTGTGTAAATTTGTTGTTTTCGTACTGGTGTGCTTAGCATTGTTGTTAGTTTTTTATTCTCCTTTCTTAAATTTCTGAAAATGTCAATTTTTCAAAATTTACAGCTGCCCAAACTCCAAAATGATGATAGAGAATTGACCAAGAAAAATAAAGAAATCTGTTAACAGGCCATGTATGCCTTTTTAATTCCTATTTTTTCCTCTTTTTCAATTTTTTAATATTTCATATATTTTGTATCACTAGGCAGAAGACATTTAACTATTTATAGAGATTGCATGGTAAAGTAGTTAGCATTGTTACAGTAATTTATAGAATCAGTAAACCTTAGAGGACACTAGCAAATAGAATATTAGCAAAGGAAATTATTGTTCCTATTAATCTTCAAATTTGAGCATTTAGTTTAGAAAGCACAGGCTATTTGATTAGGTTGCATGTTTATTACATGTTTTTGTCCTACTGCTTTTTTCTAACAGGTAAAGAAGCATTAGGGAGAGTTCAGGAATGGCTGTAGTTAATTAGGGCTAACTGGAATTTTATTTTAAAAAATGCTCACAATACAGTGTGTGTGGTTCCTTTTAGTTTTTATTTTGGGGGTGACTCTTACTCCCCTCATTTAGCTGTGCTTCTTTTCACAGGGATGCCCGGGTAGTTAAAGACATGGCAACGGGAAAATCCAAAGGCTATGGTTTTGTATCTTTTTATAATAAACTGGTATGTTCTTTGATCTTAATTTAAATATTTAACTACTAAGAGTATTCATTAGTTAATAGTATCTTAAACTTAAATATGCTTGGATGTTAAATATAACACAATTATGTATTTTTGAGTATGTTTTCATAATAGAATATAATTCATTTTCCTTTCACAAACTTGGGGAAATAGCTGGAAAAGGGTGAATTACATTGTGAGGAAGGCTGTGAAAGATGCATTTGTGCAGTGGTGGAAGTGAAGCCCCAGACTCGGTAATGAGCTAATCTGAGAATTTAGAGGTGAGGGAACGATGCAAATCCCAGTTTTAACTCTTCCTTTTAAATTACTATATATACTTTATAAACAGGGTGTTAGTAACTACAGCAAATTATGTGAATGAAACTTTGAACAACTCATCTTGATTTTTTCCCCCTGTAATCCTTAAGATCGCAGTCCCAACATGTAAGCATCTGCGATAACTGTAACATTAAAGAATAGAGTAGACCTTGATTTTAGAACAGTTTCAACAACTTAAATTACATCTTAAAATAGGTGTCTTAAATTACCTGTTTATTGGGATGGTAAGATAAAGGGCCTGAGTTGTATTCTATCTTAGGTTATTTGCAAATTCACATTAATTTGGACAATTAAATTAGTTTTTTATTGAAAGCCATTTTATAGCATTCTAACTCATAATTTAGAATTCTGTCTTAAAATGAGTTTTTAATCTTGTCATGGTCATAATTTATTACATTAGTCATAATACATTACATATTAATAGAGTATAGTATGGAGTTTTGGCGTAGATGATTTAGATGATAATATTAGCAAGTTTGACTTTTTTTTTTTAGTAAAAATTAAAAATGAGCCATACACTCTAGATTTTACTCTATGTGATGGGATTTCTTTCTGTTTTAACTTTTCATTCAAATGTTTACATATAAGAAATAAAAAATATTTTTGACTAATTAGTGGGATTGTTATTTTTCCCTGTGTTACTTGAAACATAATAAAATTTCCTTTACCTGAATTTAAATGTTCATATTTTAAAATCTATTAATAAAAGTAAGTATAATGAATCACTCAAGTTTAAATCATTTTTCTTATTGATAATAGTTAGGTTTTGTTTAAGTTTCGTGAATTCATTTGCAGATGAGATTTTTTGGATCCAGCAGTGCTAACATTTTACTTTGTCTTACAAACTACTGTTTTTTTTTTTTTCGCTTTAGGATGCAGAAAATGCTATTGTGCATATGGGAGGTCAGTGGTTGGGTGGTCGTCAAATCAGAACGAACTGGGCCACACGTAAACCACCTGCACCTAAAAGTACACAAGAAAGTAAGTTCTATATGTTAGAATTATGGATCCTTCACAAAATCACATACTAATATAGTCTTTATTTATAAATATTAGCATAGCAAGACTTATTTTATCTTGTATTTCATGATCTAAAATGATTGCACTTTGGTGTAAGTGATTTTCCGAGTTACAGATCAGCTGGCTATATCTATATCAAATAATGATCATCAAGAAAAAAATTTTTTTTCTTCCCATTGAGGCAAATCAGTAGTGTGCGGTAATTAACAAAAGGTAGTTTTATAATAACTCTATAATGGTCAGCATTTTCATTTTCTTTCTATATATAGATAACACTAAGCAGTTGAGATTTGAAGATGTAGTAAACCAGTCAAGTCCAAAAAATTGTACTGTGTACTGTGGAGGAATTGCTTCTGGGTTAACAGGTACGGTGTTTGGTTTTCTGGTCACCTCTTCTGTGGAGCTTCATCACTATTAGGAGTTTCATGATCTCAATGAACCTTAAATGTTTTTATTTATTTGTATCTTGTTTTCTAGATCAGCTTATGAGACAGACATTTTCTCCATTTGGGCAAATTATGGAAATAAGAGTTTTTCCAGAGAAGGGTTATTCGTTTGTCAGGTAATATATTATATGTAATATCATTATCATTCTTATATTCATTCCTTTGTTACATTATTTGGTCTCCAGGATATTTTTATAAAGATTTATCTTTAAAAAAGGATGTTTTTTTTTTTTTTAAAGATTTATCTTATTTGAAAGGCAGAGTGACAGAGAAGAGGAGTGGCAGGGAGATGAAAAGATCTTCCATCTATTCCCAAATGGCTGTACCAGCCTGTGCTGAAGCCAGGAGCCTGGAGCTCCCTCTAGGTCCCCCATGTGGGTGGCAGGGTCCAAAAGATCTGGCCGTCATCCACTACCTCCCAGGTGTGTTAGTGGGAAGCTGTATCAGAAGCAGAGCAGCCAGCACTCAAACCAGCACTCTGACATGGGATGTTGGCATCTCAGGCAGCACCTTACCCTGCTGCACCACAGCACAAGCCGTTAAAATAAAATGAAAGCACACGATGACAACACCTTAATGTTTTCTTCTCTCAGATTTTCCACCCATGAAAGTGCAGCGCATGCCATTGTTTCAGTGAATGGTACTACGATTGAAGGACATGTGGTTAAATGCTATTGGGGTAAAGAATCTCCTGATATGACTAAAAACTTCCAACAGGTAATTCAATTTTTCGTAGCACTTTTAAAGTTTCCATCTTACATATCTACATAAAAGCTTCAGAAACTAAGCAGTAAATAATGTAAAACAAATAGCTACTTTCAGTTGATTGTATTAATGCTATTTCAAAATTGATTATTTTGTGGTATTAACTGAATCTTAATACTTTCTTTTCACAGGTGTCACCACCCCAATAAACTTAGACAATGATAAATAACAGAGTCCTATTCACTCACATAAGGGTGCTTACTTAGTTTTACTCTTCCTTGTCTCCCACTCTTTCTTCAAGTACGGTGTTTATTACTTGCTTCCTAAAACAATAATTTGCTTTTTCCTAGGTCGACTATAGTCAGTGGGGCCAATGGAGCCAAGTGTATGGAAACCCACAACAGTATGGACAGTATATGGCAAATGGGTGGCAAGTACCGCCGTACGGAGTATATGGGCAACCATGGAATCAACAAGGATTCGGAGTAGAGTAAGTTTTTTTTTTTTTTTTTTAAGATTTATTTTTATTATTTATTTGAAAGTCAGAGTTAGAGAGAGAAGGAAAGGTAGAGAGAGAGAGAGGTCTTCCATCCGCTGGTTCACTCCCCAGTTAGCTGCAATGACTGGAGCTGTGCTGATCTGAAACCAGGAGCTTCTTCTGGGTTTCCCGTGTGGGTGCAGGGGCCCAAGGACTTGGGCCATCTTTACTGCTTTCCCAGGCCATAGCAGAGAGCTGGATAGGAAGTGAAGAATCCAAGACTTGAACCAGTGGCTATACGGGATGCTGGCACTGCAGGTGGCGGCTCTACCCACTATGCCACAGCGCCGGCCCTGAGTAAGTTGTTTTGAGTCTTTCCTAGTGTAGAAGCAAATAAGTTCCTAAAATAGAAATAGGAAGTTTGTTTTCCTAAGAAGAATCTATTTAAATTATGTTACTTGACATAAGCATTATAGAAACAAATTAATGAAATGTGATTTATGATACTAAAAAGTTCCTATTACCTAGGTGGAAAGGGAGGTTGGAGTACTTGTTGTATCTAACTGTCTCTAAGCAGTTGGTAGGATTTGATTTACATATCTAATATATATTTGTTTATTTTTTGCAAGTAAAAGATCTTTGTCTAGATATGTTCAGAAATTTATGTGACACAAAGTAGCTTTTTTTCTTTATTGATAGAGTGGGTTGGTCCCTTGTAATTTTTTTCCCCAGGCCATCCCAGGCCTTTGTTTTACTGGATGCTTTTTTTTTTTTTTTTTTTTTTTTAAGATTTATTCACTTGAAAGTCAGAGTTACACAGAGAGAGGAGAGGCAGAGAGAGAGAGAGAGGTCCTCCATCCAATGGTCCACTACCCAATTGGTTGCAGCGGCCGATTGTGAGCAGATCCGAAGCCAGGAACGAAGAGCTTCCTCCGGGTCTCCCACATGGGTGCAGGGGCCCAAGGACTTGGGCCATCCTCCACTGCTTTCCCAGGCCACAGCAGAGAGCTGGATTGGAAGTGGAGCAGCCGGGTCTCGAACTGGCACCCACATGGGATGCCGGCGCTTCAGGCTAGGGTGTCAACACACTGTGCCACAGCGCCGGTCTCTAGATGTTTCTTTTGAGATTGTTTCCAACATGAGATTTTATGTGTAAAACTTCTTAGAAGTTGATAGACCATTTATGCAGGATGTGATGGATAACTTTTCGAGGCCAGCATTGTGGTGTAGCGAGTAAAGCTACTGTCTGTGACAGTGGCATTCCATATGGGTGCTCGTTCATGTCCTGGCTGCTCCACTTCCAATCCAGCTCCCTACCAGTGGCCTGGTAAAGTGGTGACAATGGCCCAAGTACCTGGGCCCTGCACCTTTGTGGGAGACCCAGCTGAAGCTCCTGGCTTCTGTCTGGCCCAGTCCTGGTCATTGACAGCCATCTGTGGAGTGAACCAGCTGATGGAAGATCTCTCTCTCTCTCTCTTTCTGTAACTCTGACTTTCCAATAAAATAAATCTTAAGAAAAGTCACTTTTGGGTATTCTTTAGAGATGTTATCTTACATATATATAGTTTCTAAAATATTGTAGATGTGCTGAGTTTTCTATTGTCAGTTCTGTGGTTAGGCTTGCTTTGATTTTTGTGTTAATGTGTAGGTAATGTTCTCTTGTTTTGTCTTCCAAGTCAATCACCTTCTGCTGCTTGGATGGGTGGATTCGGTGCTCAGCCTCCCCAAGGACAAGCTCCTCCCCCTGTAATACCTCCTCCTAACCAAGCTGGATACGGTATGGCAAGTTACCAAACACAGTGAGCTGGGACTCTAAGCAAAATTGTAATTCATGATAGGCTTCGATTTCCTGTGACACTCTGAAGACATGAAAGTAGACATCGGAAAATGAAAATATTTATTTTAAAAATTGAAATGTTTGGAACATTTAGCACAGCTTTGCTTTGGTGAAGGACACATGTCTTCTAGTTCTGCCTTTTTAAGTTTTTGTTCATGATGGATATGAACATGATTTTTCTTTGTGTACAAAAACTAAAATAAAGTCAATAAAGACAATTCTGACTACAAATTTTGATATGATAGGAGAAATGAGTAATACATTTTGATTCTTAGATACTATTCCATTTTTATCTTGCTGTTCAGTATTTTAACTCACTGTGTTTTTAAAAGAGCAAAAAAGGGAGGATCGTGAAAACCTGGGAATCACATATAAGTTCATCTTGAAACCTGATACTCCCCTCCCCTCCCCTGAGGTGGACCACATTTGAAGTCAGCAGAGAAAAGTGTGATATTCGGAAGAAATGCATGATTTTGGAGTCGCTTTGGAGGAAATACTTACTTTCTCTATGCCTAAAGAAACTGAAGCCAGACTGAAAATTTGCAACCTAAATAAGGAACAGCATTGTCTTGAGTTACTTGAGGAAATATTGGTGGTCCACATTAAGACATATTTTTAAAACTTCAAAAGTGTCGGTTCATAAAACTGTAGTATACTACATTTCATTTTGGGGGGAAATTCCAAGTATGGTGTTTGTATTACAGTCAGACAGTCATACTTGTGCTTTTACATGAAGTTTAAATGATATACATTGTAAATATTGAATAACTACAGTGTTTAAAAAGCATGCTTCAACATAGAAGTAGCAGCAATGTAATTATTTGGAGTAACACTTAACATACTCCACTGCATTGGATGCAGTGGGTCGATAAGAATGTTTTTAGACTGACGTTTCCAAGGTTGGCTACTATGTAAAATTAAAGTTACACAAATTGCTACACAGAAAAAGCCTTAATTTTAATTTCATAAAAATCTTTGATGCATTAGTACATTCTAAAATGTCATTGAAAATTAATTTTTTTCTTATTTTTTGCTTCACATTATTTGGTATGTAAATACCTTAATTAAAACCTTGTAAACCAATTTCAAGGTTCCTATAAGTTGTATAGTTACAAGTGTTTTTTAAAAATCTTGGGGTGTTTTTAAAAATTAGATATATTTTGCCCAAGAATTTTTTAACAAGATTGCTAAAACATCTTATTTAGACAGTTCGATGTACCAATTTATAATTGGATATTCAGTTTAAATAGTACACAGAGTTGTGACTTTTATTTTTAAGTTTTTTTCCTTGTGGGTAGTATGCATGGGATGACAAGCCTGAGCAGAGGCTTGAGTTGTGTGTGTGCAGAGTTTGTAAAAGTCAATTGGGAAGGGTGAACTTTGCTTCCCAGATACTTTTCAGGCTGTGTGGGTAAAGTCTGCCTCAAATTTCTATAACACAGGAATGTAAAATAGCTACAACACTATGTATCTGAATTGTGACAGCTAGGGGGTGCAAATGTTTTGGCAATGTATTGGAAATGTTGGCCTGGGCACCAAAATGAGAAAGTTCTTTCCCCTGAAGTAGTGAAATGCACGTGGCACCCACAAGTTACTACTCATGAAACATTTCAAGTCTTAAAATTGAGCTTTAAAATAATGATGGTTTTATAAATTGGTGACCATAATGACTTGGGTATTACTTTGCCTCTTTCCCCACTTAGAAATCTAGCCAAATGTATTCAACATAAAAATTAAGAGTCTGGAGTTTTTCCTCATGGGCCAGGTTTTTTATGGCTCCTTAGATTTAACCACTGTAGTCTCTGATTACATGTGTCTCTTATGAAATCTACCCTTATTTCTTTTGTTCAATGTCTTTGGGAGATGTTTTTGGAAAAGTTATTTTATATTTTATAGGGAGAACACTTAAGAAATTAATTATGCCCCAGAGTTAAAAATTTCTTGAATGTATGTGAAACTTGAACAACTAAAGATTTTTTTTGATTGATAGATAAGGGCCTATTGAATTCTCAGTTTGCTTTTTATGGTCTGCCCATAAATTAAGTAGCTTATTGAGAGAACTAACAGCTGACTGTAGCTGTAGTATTTCCTGGTTGTGTATTCTATGATTTAATAAAATGATCCAGACTAGTTATATTGCCATAGTAAACATATGACTGAAGTGTCCTTTTGTCTTAATCTGAAAGCGAAAAAGATCTCATGATCAGTTAATGGAAGTTATTTCATGCTAAATGGTTTTAAACTATAAAGTTACTTATCCAAATGAAATGCACTATTTAAAAAATATGACTGTCAAGCTAACAGAGACTCAACACTTCTATAACACAGAGTGGAGTGAGTGCTACCTTGATCCAATTGAAGCCCAAGAATTGTTGCCTTTTCTTTCCCATGTTCCTTAGAAACAGCAGCAGAGATTCTTAGGCATGTAAGGAAATGTGTGTTACGGATTTCTTTGGTTGATGTGTTTCTGACCGCTATCTTTGCCCCAATCATCTAACTAGTATTTTCCCCCATGCCATTCCCACTTGATTTTATGTCTGCTGGCAGTGAGAGGCTAAAATGACTGGCCAACTGAAGCCAAAGCTGTAAACCACAGTTGAAGTAAGTCTTTTCAATAAAGACTAGACAATATAAGTGGCTTTTTCTTATTGTCGTTTATTACATAATTGTTCCTTCTAGGCCGTGAACATGAGTGATTGGGTTGTAAATCATCAGTAAGGTATGTGGAGTGTACATCTATTTTTCAGGACTTATTTTTGTATTCTGTTTAATTGTTAAAAGTTAATTAGTTTTGTTAAATTAAAATTTTATCTGTGAATATGCAAGAGTAGAATTTATATGCTTCTAGAAATGTGTTCTGTTGAAAGTTAATATAGTAAAAGCTCATTAATTTGGGATTCACCAATATATAAATTATCATGTCTAGGTTGATCTTTGATAGTATAGTACTATGAATAATGAATGTGCTTGACAAATAGGAAAAGTAGGAAAAGAATTTAGTGTTCTAAACACTTTTGCAATACATACACCATTACTTAAAAGTTAGTATTTAGGTTTCTACTTAATACATTATATAAATACTGACTGCATTTTTAGTATGTTTTGGAAGGATGCAAAAAAATGTTTCTTTACACCTTCACTAGTTTTTTAAGCTTTCAATTTTTTAAAAAAGATTTATTTATTTATTTGAAGGGCAAAGTTGCAGAGAGGCAGAGTCAAAGAGAGAGAGGGCTTCCATCCACTGGTTCACTCCCCAGATGGCTGCAATGGCAAGAGCTACACTGATCCGAAGCCAGGAGACAGGAGCTTCCTCCAGGTCTCCCAGGCAGGTACAAGGGCACAAGGGTGTGGGCTTTCCCAGGCCATAGCAGAGAGCTGGATCGGAAGTGGCACAGCCGGGACTTGGACCATTTGGGATGCCAGCACTGCAGGTGGTGGCTTTACCTGCTATGCCACAGTGCCGATCCCTGAGCCTTCATTCTTTTTTTTTTTATTATTTTTGACAGGCAGAGTGGACAGTGAGAGAGAGAGACAGAGAGAAAGGTCTTCCTTTTGCCGTTGGTTCACCCTCCAATGGCCGCCGCTGCAGCCGGCGCACCGCGCTGATCCCATGGCAGGAGCCAGGATCCAGGTGCTTTTTCCTGGTCTCCCATGGAGTGCAGGGCCCAAGCACCTGGGCCATCCTCCACTGCACTCCCTGGCCATAGCAGAGAGCTGGCCTGGAAGAGGGGCAACCGGGACAGAATCCGGCGCCCCAACCGGGACTAGAACCCAGTGTGCCGGCGCCGCAAGGTGGAGGATTAGCCTATTGAGCCACGGCGCCGGCTTGAGCCTTCATTCTTAAGTGGTCCAAATGAGGGAACTTTTGCTTAAATGTCTTTTTTGCTGTGTTTAGTAATATCCTAGTGATTATGTTCAAATAGATTATTATGAATTAGGTTGCCATCAATTTCATCTTTAAGCAAGGAAATTATGTGAATAATTATGACTTTTTAAAATTTCCAAATTGTAAATAAATATGGCTTTAAAAAAATTTTTTTTTAGATTATTCATTAGAAAGAGTTACACAGAGAGGAGAGGCAGAGAGAGAGAGAGAGGTCGGTCAGTCTTCCATCCGCTGGTTCACTCCCCAGTTGGCCACAACGGCTGGAGCTGCGCCGATCTGAAGCCGGGAGCCAGGAGCTTCTTCCAGGTTTCTCATGTGGGTGCAGGGGCCCAAGGACTTGGGCCGTCTTCTGTTGCATTCCCAGGCCATAGCAGAGAGCTGGAACGGAAGTGGAGCAGCCGAGACTAGAACTGGAGCCCATATGGGATGCCTGCGCTTCAGGCCAGGGCATTAACCTGCTGCGCCACAGTGCCAGCCCCCAAAATTTTTTTTTAAGTTTTATATAAATATGGCTTTAAATTTTTTTTTCCACATTTATTTGAATGGTGGAGAGAGAATAATGGAGAGCTCCTATCTGCTGGCTCACTTCCCATATGTCCTCAACAAGTGGGCTTGGGCCTGCCAAAGCAGGAACCTAGGACTCAGTGTAGGCCTCCAGTGTGAGTGGCAGGGACCCAGGGACCTGAGCCATCCCTGCTGCCTTCCAAGGGTGCCGAAGTCACCCAATCCCAGACACTACAGTATGGACACAGGCCTCCTAAGTGTCTTGACTGCTGTGTGAAAGGCCCACTCACTCAGTGTACCATACTAGTATGAAGCCTGGGCTCGCATCTTCTTCCTAAACCAAGCTTATTTTGAGAGGTAGTACACATAGACTAGATCCTATAATTCATAAGGTGCTTTGTGGAAATGACTATTTGAGGGCCAAGAATGACTTTGGCTTGTGTAGGGTGAACTTCAAGAGGAAAAAAGGCACTGATAATGAATGACACTTGTAGAGTCAGGCGTTTGTCAGGTGGAAGGAGAGATTTATATAACCTTCCATGGTTTCCTTTTCAAACAAGGTATCAGTAACAGTTGACAAGGTATGTACATGTATCCAATAAGTAATTTCCTTACTATATGAATGCTGAATTTTAACTTTGCCAGTTTGTTGTCTTTTTTGAGACTGAGGGAGAGAGAGCTCTCAATCTGCTAGTTCACTTCCAAAATGCCTGCAGTGGCTAGGTCTGGGCTGAATCTAGGAGTCAGGAACTCAGTCCAGGTGTCTGTTGTGCTTGGTAAGAACCCAAGAAGCTGGAGTCTGGAACCAGAGCTGGGTGACAGACCCCAGGTATTCTGGCATGGAATGTGGACGTGTAACCAGCTCTTCACCACTAAGCTAAATGCTTTTAAAAATGCACTACCATTTTTCTGAGACATGCCCCTGAAAAAGCAGTCCACATCTAATGTCTTGAAATCAACTTGAAGGAAAGTTCACAAACACGAATTAGATGGCTATTGGGAGTAAACCAGGGCGATTGCATGCTGAAAAGTAACCTCTGAGTGGGCTGTGCTGTTGGAGATCTTGTGCTGGGCGTAGCCAACCTGTGGATCTCTTCTCTGCTCAAGAGCTTTGTGAAAAGTGGATACGTGCTGCTGCAGAATTTTCGTCTTCAGGATAATCCAAATGTTAGTATATACAACCAGTAACTTCCCCAATTTTTGTTTGTTATATTGTTTTCCTGTGCCTTTGTCTTTTTTTTTTTAGATTTAGGTATACCAATGAAGGAAGTCTGAGACCTGAGCAAAATGGGTGTGAAATGTGTATCATACACAATTGTGTGTGTGCTAAGGATTGATGATGAATAAATTTCAGATTCTCAAATCCAGTTCATCTTACTAGTTAAGAGTTGTGAGTCGAACTGTTTCATTGTGGTTTACATGATGCCCACCCTCCCTTTTTTTAAAGATTTATTTTTTATCTCAAAAAAAAAAAAAGTTTATTTATTTGAAAGGCAGAGTTACAGAGACTAGTTTTCCATCCTCTGGTTCACTCTCCAATGGCCACAATGGCTGCAACTGGGCCAGGCTGAAGCAAGGAGCCAGGAGCTTCTTCTGAGTCTCCCATATGGGTGCAGGAGCCCAAGGGCTTGGGCCATCCTCCAATGCTTTCTCGGGTGCATTAGCAGGGAGCTGGGTTGGAAGTGGAGCAGCCAGGACTCAAATTGGCACCCGTGTGGGATGCCGGTGCTGTAGGTGGCGGCTTACACCACTATGCCACGACATTGGCCCTTAGAAGTTTTTTGATTTAATTTTTAAAGGTTTATTTGAGAAGTGGAGTTACAGAGAGAGAGAGACATGAGAAAGGTCTTCCATCCACTGGTTCACTCCCCAAATGGCCACGACAGCCAGAGCTAGGCAGATCTGAAGCTTGGAGTTTCTTCTGGGTCTCATATGCAGGTGCAGGGGCCAAGTACTTGGGCCATCTTCTGCTCTCCCAGGCCATAGCAGAGAGCTGGATTTGAAAAGGAGCAGCTGGGACTTGAACCAACGCCCATATGGGATCCCAATGCTGCAGGCGGTGCTATGCCACAGTGCTGACCCCTAAAGACTTATTTATTTTAAAGGCAGAGTGACAGCTCCATAGAGGATCACTCCCCAAATGGCTGCAGCAGCCAAATGTGGGCCAAGCCGAAGCCAGGAGCCAGCATCTCCATGCTGGCTACCCACATGGATGGCAGTGACCCAGGCACCTGATCCATTCTCTGCTGCCTTCCCAGGTGTATCAGCAGGAAACTGGATCTGAAGAGGAGTAGCTGAGATTTGAGCCAGCACTCCTGTGTGGGCTGTAATGTACTGTTGTCACGGTGCTGGCCCCAACGGGATTGCTTTTTGCCTACAAAAATAAAGCTTTAACATACCAAAAAATAAAGAAACTTTTAAGGAGGTTATGTTTAGCTGGTTGGCATACCTTACACTTTGTTAGTGGAGATTTGGGTTGGGAAAGGAGTAGTGACTAAGATTTTGAAGGAAGGAAGAGCTTTGGATTCTGGAGTGCGTTGCCATGGGACTTGCACACTTTTGGGCAGATGTCATAGACCAGGTATGGGTAATCGGAGCAGCTGTGTGCAAGGTGTCACTGGTTTAAGCCTGTACATTTTATCAGAAAAGATGATGGGTATCAGGTTATTAAATAAAATTCTTGCAGGAGATGGTCCTTGATAGTTTGTTTCCTTTATGAAGTGCTTTACTTAATGACGTGTTCAACCATGTATTTGGATGTTGGGCAAAGGCTACCGTTAAACTGACTTTGAGCATCTGTAGGAAGACGACAAGATTTGGACATCTTGGAAGATCCACATTTAATTTAGTATACCTAAGGATATATTTTATTTTTAAAAATGGATAACCTCATTCCCTGATTGCTTTACTATTTTTATGTCTTTGGCTATGTCAGTCTTCCTCCAAAGAATGAACTCCCAGGGAGCAGGTACCTGTTCTGTATGTGTACATGAACTGCACAGATTTTAGGGCCGGTGACAGTGCTTGGCATGTGGTAGATGTTCGGTGAACGCTGAAGATGTGAGTGTGATGGAGGAAGTGAAAGCAAACGTTTTAGTCTCCCTCTTGGTGTTCTGTTTGGGTAGAACTCAGAATCAAGGGGTACTTACTAGAATGCAGATTCTGGGCCTCCAGCTCGTGGTGAGGGAGGCCTGGAGTAAAATGAGTAGGCCTGCTTTCCTCCTTTCTTCTTTCTGTCCCTACC